GATGGAGTATCAAAGAATCGGCCCATAGAGAGCACTTGATCCTTGCGCGGATCAGGAGGAGCTACACCTTTGAGTGGGTGCTCCAACGAGGACTCGTGGAGAGTGATGACTCTCCGATACCTCGGATAAAACATCGTCGCGTTCCTCTCATTCTCTTTACTTTGAGCATTTACATTTGAGCAATTCAATTCATGTCTTTACATTCTTAGAATTGTCAAGCTAGAGTAGAATTGGAACCTAATGTGCAAAACTTTTGTGTAGTAGAACAATAGAAATACTTCTAGGCAAAAGAGGGTGAAATGGTTTAAGTGTAGGACTTAATTATTGCCAAAAAATTTAGAATAAGCTCAACTCATCTTCCCTCTTGGACATCTTGATCCTTTCAGGAGGGAAATAGGAGGGCATCGACTGGGCATATCCGCTCTAGGTATTGGATATTCCTTCCCCAAATGGGACTATGCTTGGAATCTTCCGAGCCCTGGCCAGCTGGCCTATATGGTGACTTGGTTTTGGACTTTGGTGTATGTGAAACCTCGAATATGTCATGCATACCCAGCGGCTTGCATAGCTTATTTCCTATCGGATCTTGTTTGGACACTCCCAACAGTGCATACCAAATTTTCACTCCAACAGAACGCAGGGTAGGATCGCCCGTAAATTCAAACGGAGGCAAGTTTGCCTACAAATTGTGGTAATGTGGTGGTAAATTCTCCAAAAAAGAATCATGGTAGAAAAGTAGCTCTGCCTTGGTACATCATCTCATCTCACATTGAAGATTGAAGTGGAAACCTATGGCAATCCAAATAGTAAAGGTCAATGGTACCTTCATCATTGATTGAGCTATGTGAGAGAGTTTTTTTTGAACGAAACTGGAGGGGTTTGCACCCTTACAACATTTATTGAAACAAAACAAATGGTTCAGAGTACAAAAGGAGCGCTAGAACTACAAAGTACAGGAGTAAGAAGAAGAAAAAGGCAAGACAAGCCTAGGAGACAAAGAAGGTTACAAAAAAAAGCAGCACAAGGACTGCTAGCAGCCAAGATAAATAAGACTTGCAATCCATTGATCAATTCTAGGGGAGTATCTTCTTTTGGCTTTTAAGAGTAAGAGCTAAAATTCATCTATGAAATTTTGCTTGGCCACCTAGATGTTTGGGTTCACCTGACGAAAGATTAAATCATTTCTTGCCCTCCAAATAGTCCAGCACATCAGTATGATGATTTCCATGAAAAAGGGTACTCTTAGTTGGTCTTTTAAACTTTGCAAACTCTGAAAATGGTCAGGGTGCTGACTAGATTGAACACTAATCAAATCCCAGCATTGAATGGCAAAGAGGCATTCCAAGAACAAATGCACCAACGATTCCTCCACCAAAGCACTACAGAGCACACAGTTAAAGTCCTGAAGATCCATGTTCTTCCTCCTCAGCAGTTCTCTTGTGCTTACTCTATCCTTGAGAAGGAGCCAGAAGAAAACTTTATGTTTACTTTGACATGAGCTTGTCCAAAGCCATTTGAAAGCTGGGTGAATGTCTAGATGTCCACTGAGGTGTCTATAAGCTTTTTTGATTGAAAATTTGTTGGAATTCCAAATATAGCTCCACTTGTCTAGATCCTCATTTAGGTTTATTTCACCCAACAACTTCTGAAGCTGAAGCATTTGGACATGAGCCTATTATGAAAGAGGCAGGTGAAAGATACTGTGCAGTGGGGTTTGAGCATAACCTTCAGCAAACACTTGTTGCTTTTTTTCACAAAAGAGAATAGTTTAGGGAATTTTTGGGTTAGGATCTCATCACCCCAAAGATCTTCCCACAGAAAGCATGATGATCCACTTATGATCTCCACCTTAGCCATTCCTTTGAACTTATCAAGCAGTTTCAGAATATTCCTCCACCAGAAAGATCATTTTTTGAGCTTCCAGGCAGCTTTCCTGATCCATAATACTTTTTCCAAACAAGGGACACCCAGGGGATATCCTATTTGTTAAAGAACTTGTGCAGGTGTTAGATTAAGAGGGCTTCATTCTAAGTTCTAATGTTAAGGACACCAAGCCCTCCTTGCTCCTTTTCTCTGCAAACCATTGGCCAAGCTGCTTTTGGCTTTTGCTTTGCATTAAAATTAGCACCCCTCCACATACACAATTTTCTAAACTTATCTATCTGATCAACCAGAGTCTGCTAAAGAAGGAAGGTACTCAGGCAAAAGGTAGGCATTGTAGTGAGAACAAAGTTGGTGATTTCTAGCCTACCTACCTAATTCAAAAAGGCTGAGGTTGCTGCCAACCTTCTCTCACATCTAGTGACTAGAGGAGAAAAATCAATTGCCCTAGGCTTAGTTAGGCTTAATGGCAATCCCAAATAGGTGAAAGGTAGACTTCCAGTCTCACAATTGAAAGTTCTTGCAAGATGTTGCAACTTATCCTGACTAGTATTGATAGGGACCATGATTGACTTAGCATAATTCACTTTAAGCCCAGTAGATTCACCAAAGGTGTGTAGCAAGACCTTCAGAGCCAATAATTGTCTGTTGCAAGCTTCCATAACCAACAAAGTATCATTTGTATATTGAATGATTGGGAAATCATCTGTGTATTGGAGAGGGATTGGTAACTTTAGGAGATTTTGACTTTTAGCTTTGTTGATCACTGACTGCAGCAGGTCAGCAGCAAGAACAAATAGAAAAGGTGACAAAGGGTCTCCCTGTCTGACCCCCCTCTTGCAGTGAAATACCTTACCAGGCACCCCATTAAGTAATACTGAAGATGATCCAGAATTGAGAATGTCTCTTACCCAATTTATCCACCTTTTAACAAATCCTTTTGCCTCAAGGATCTCTAGAATTGCATTGTGTTCTATTTGTCAAAAACTTTCTCAAAATCCAGTTTTAGTATGATCAGTTCCTTCTTGGATTTGTGACAATTATGAATATACTCAAGTGCCCAAGCTAAGCAATCTTGAATGGTTCTTGATTTGATGAAGCTATACTGATTCTGATGCACTAACCTCTTGATTGGTTGTTGCAATCTATTGGCCAGTAGCTTGGTGATTAGTTTAATGGAAGAATTCAAAAGGGATATTGGCCTGTAGTCTGCTACTCTCCGAGGACCATCCTTCTTTGGGATCAGAACAATGTAGGAATTGTTGATGCTTCTCAAGCAGACCTCCCTATTATAGAAATCTTTACACAGATTAAAAAAATTAGTGGCTAGCAATGGACAGCATCCCTTGATAAATTCATTGTTATAGCCATCAGGGCCTGGGGATTTGTTATTGGGTAACAAGGAGACCACCTTCTCTACTTCTTCCTTAGTGAAGGGTGTTTTCAATTGGTGCAGGTCATCAACTGGCTGGATTAGTTGACTTAGGTCAAAAATCATCTGGCTGTGATTAGTCATCCCCAATCTTTCTTTGAAGGAGGTCCATAGGTGCTCAGCTTTTGCTTCATGTCCATAAAGATTATTCCCCAAACTATCTTGTAAGACTGTAATATTGTTCTTCCTGTGCCTGAAGGTTGCATGGGCATGGAAGAATTTTGTGCTAGCATCCCCCTCTTTCACCCATCTCACCTTCCCCCTTTGCTTCCAGTAGGTTCTCTACTGCCTCAACAAAGACATGAGCTTTTCTGACACTAGGTTTCTAAAATTCCATTCAGGCAAGGAAAGATCCCTAAAAAGTTCAATTGTTTCCATGAAGTGTAACACTGGCTTCACCTTTTCAATTGCTAAGGCTAGCTTTGGAAATGTTAATTTCCATTCCTTTAACACTTTTCATAAATTCTTGAACTTGGCAGTTAGCAACTTGGCAGGATCTGTGATGTGTGTAGGCCCTTTCCATCCATTAACTACTGCTGGAATGAAGTCCACATGGCTTAGCCAGTGATTTTCAAACCTGAAGATTTGGCTTTGGAGGATTAATGTGCTTATTTCAACTACAGATGGCCAATGATAAGATGTTTCCATGACTAAGGGTTTAACCAAGGTATTGGGGAATTTTGAAGTCCATGAGTTTGAAGTGAAGAACCAGTCTGATCTCTCCAAAAGGGGGAAATTGCTTATTTGTCCAGTTGTAATGCCTACCATGAAGTGGGAGCTCAACCAAGTCAAGTTTATTGATAGCTTCATTAAATAAGAATATCTCATTAAGATTAGCACCATCCCTGTTTCTGTCTTTGGCCTCCTAATCAGGTTGAAATCACCCACTATTAGCCACTCAATTTCAGATGGCATTGCTATCTCCCTAAACCAGTCTAGAAATTCTCTTTTACCAGAAGCCGTGCAAGGGTCATAAACAACTGTCAGCAACCAGGTTTCACTGCTTAGCTTGGAGGTGAATTCAACTGATAAAGCAAATCTATTGCTAAAGACCAGGCTGCCCCAAAAGACACTACTTTTCCATACCACTAGGATTCCCCTAGAGTCCCCCATAGAAGGCAGGACCTCAAAGGTGTCAAAGCCAGATGGACAGATGTTCTTGATGAAGTTTAAGTCAAAATTATCTCTTTTTGTTTCCTACAAGCAAATGATTTTCACTTATGCTTTCAATCACTTTATCGCTGATAGAATTCCACTTCTTGTCAGAATTGAGGCCTCTGACATCCAACTCAAGACTTTCCAAGATCTATTGTACACCATTTAAAAAACCAGAAAGGAAAGAAAGCTGCAAGAGGGAAAAGAATCCCACCAGACAAAACTAGGCCAAAGGAAACATAACCAAAATACCAATTAAAATAACTAGAACAGTACTAAAAATAAACCAAGTTCAACAACCACCACTGCTTATAGGGGACTAAGTCCTAGGGCACACAGCCATAGGAGAAGAAACTAACAAAAGGGACTAAAAAGGAAGAACAGTAAAAGAAGGGAGGCAAAGCCTCAACCACCTAGGAGCTAATGGTCTTCATTCTTGTGTTCATCATTGCTTTTGTCCTCCTTTGCACCATCCGGACCCTTTCCCTTATCTTCCTTGTTCTTCTTCACCTTTTTTCCCACAGGTTCCATTCTACTCTTGTTCAAAAGAGACTGCTCCTCCAGTTGGTCTTCCTGAAGCTGGCACATAGAGGCTCCAATCTTCTGTAGAGAAAGAGGGGGCAAAGTTGGGGGGGCCATTGGAGCACCCCAGACAATTCTTCACCCTACAGGTACTCAACTTGAAGCCATTCGAATTTGCTTTGACTCTGCTACTCCTCCTGGCAGCCGAGTCCACCATAGGTGTAACTGCCTTTCCTTTCCTTCCTCTCTTCTTGCTGGACAACACTTCCTCTATATCCTCATTAGGTAAAGCCTCCTCAATCTCTTTGACAAAGTATGGTTCAGATAGCAGGCGACTGCAGGCCTCAGAATCTGAAGAATGAGAACCCAAACAGAGATGGCAATCCCCATCACCTCCCCTCTGCAAAAGTTGAGGGAAGCCAGACTCCAATAGCTGTTTGGCCCATCTGTAGTGGGCCGGGGCTTGGAGCAATGCTTGAAGAAAGCCCATCCACTCTTTTGGAACCAGGATTACCTCCTTCTCAGCCTTCTCCATGCTTTGAAAATTTGTAGAATCTTTTGGTGTCAGTAGAGACAGATCAATAGGCTTGGGTGAGATGGGGGGTGTTAAAGAAAAAGGTCCTAACCATGACTATTTGTATGTTCTCATGAACTGGCATGTCATCCACTAAATTTAGTTGTTCCCCCCTAGCGACCTGCTGTCCTTCTTCAGCCATCACATTTAGCTGCTCATCCATAGCCATCTGCTGCTCATCCTCGGCCACAAACTGATTTGCCAAAGCATCTAGGTCCATGAGCTCCTCCTCCTAGACTTGCATCACCGGGAACTGCAAAGGCATCTAGAGCTCTTGGATATTAGCAGCCATCTCAGCAGCAACCCCCAATTCTGGCTCTACAAGTGGTGGTGGTGGATCAATCAGTTCCTCCTCCTCATGAACATTCTCCTGGGCTGGGTTGATGATCATCTCTAAGGACTCCTCTATAGGAGCCATGTTTAGATCCTGATCCATGGCCAAAGGAGTGTGGTTAAGGTCTAATTGCTGCCCTCCAACCTGTGGTGCTGCTGGTAATTCCACTGGCCAGTCATCCCAACCTTGCTGTTGCTGTTGCTGGGCCTATTCATTTTGTTCAGCCTGAATGTTCTGCTCATTTAGATTGAGCAGAGGGTCCTGACCTGCAATCGGTGCAAGCACCTGTTGACCCAAACCAAAGAAATCAAAAAGCGTGGACCATCATGATCCTGAACTGGTACCTGCTCCTCATCAAGGGGGCCAATGCCCAAGTTCTCATGCTGCAATCTCACATTACACTGTCCATGACTGCCCCTCATAGCCCGAACTATCTGAGAAGACAGTAAAATGAGGAATGCATTCCAGGTAAACCACCCTTGCTCTAACAATCAGTCTCGTTAGGTGATTAGGGTCATTATCCCAATGCACAATTCTAGCATAAGGTCCAAGGACAGTTTCAATGAACTCTTGCTCCTAGTAATCCTTAGGTAAGCCCATTAACATCAACCAACACTCTTGATTAAAAACCACTCTCCTCCAATTCCTGCCTTGATTATGCCTTACAAACAAAAAATCTACCCCACCATAAGGATGCGGACTCTCAAGCACAAAGCGATCTCTATCAAACTCATTCTCAAATCGAGCAAACGCCTAGCCTAAATGATAAGGTTGCACATCTTTGATCTGGATTCTTCTATGCACAAAAAACTCCCTGACCACTTCATCTACCATTGGAAAGTGGAGGATATTACCGGGCAGCGGTGATATGGTGACAATAGCCAGGTCCTCGTTTCTTGGCCTCGGCCTCCTTGCAGCTACCGCCCGAACCATCAGCGGCTTGTTGGGTATGTTTTCAATGTGCATCCCACTCGGTTTGAAGGGGAATGGATCAGCGCGCTGATATGCCATGGCTGGCCACTCAGAGGGTTGAGGCGGAGAAGGCTGAGCTTGGAGCTGTGGCAATGGCATTGGATTAGCACTGTGAAACTGGGGTTTTCTTGGGTTGCCACTATTACCGCCCGGAGGTGATTTATCAGAGCAAGACGGAGCGATGATGGGCTATTTTGGCACACTGCTCAAACAGAGGTCAGTCACTGAACTGTGGGTCTCTGCCTCAAGAGGCCCACCTGTCATCGGCGATAGGGTTGTCCACTATATGTTGATTGGCTCTGGCAGCAGCGGAGCCTACGAGGTAGACGCCTGTGATCTGGCCCAAGCCCTAAAAGAACTAAAGACTGGTGGGCTTGGATGACGCGGCCTAGTGACCAAATCAGTTCCCAATACGATGGACTTGGGCCGCTCAATAATTTGCTTTTCATTTAAGTCCACTGCGGCCCCCTTCCCATTACTATTCAGCTTCTTATCTTTACCTTTCCAATTACTGTCGCCTGGACAATTAAACGCAACATGTCCCCCACACAAGCATGAAAAGCATTTGATGGGAGATTTGCATGCTTCCCTAGCGTGTCCTGCGGTCAGGCAGCGAGAGCAAATCCTGGGCGCCAGAGCTTCTGTAAGATTATTTGCAGAGGACCATTGACCCGAGGCTACACCATGATTCAAACTTAGACTAGTGTCAATAGGCTCTGGGCTAGCCTGATGACCTCGGCCAATGGTGTTCTTTCCTTTGCTCAAAGCCGGCCTAGGATCGAAAGGGAAAAGCAAATGATCAAAAACACTTCTTTGAGGTTGCTTAGCTTGGACAGGGACTTTGTTAGCCCTAGTAAGCAGTACACTTTTCACTGCATCAGCAAAGGTAACTGAAGGTCTGATCTTGCCAGCAGTAGGACTCTTCTGGACATCAGTCCAAGAGGCCTCTTCCTCAGCACAGAAGCTTCTCCATTCACGAACCCAGTTAGGGCCACCATTGCTCCAGAGGTGGAAGAAAACTTTGAAAGAAGAACACTCAAAAGAACGCAATTTAACAACATGAAAACCAACCGAACTCGAAGAAACCGAGAAACGAAAGACTCTATCAGCAAGCTGGAGAACCACGAAATCCGAGGCGATGCCTCCGATCATAGCCTAGAGAATGGCTCCAACCGAAGCCGAGGAGAGCTTGAACTTACAGCGACCAAAGGAGGCGACCAGAAAGAAGGCACGACCCTAGATCGTCGGGGACACCGTGCAGCCAAACTTGCTTCTGATCACCTTTTGGACACCAACTCTTGGGCGAGAACTGAGGCCTTGGAGCTCCATGGCATGAACCTAAGGCCACGGCAATGTCGACTGCTCAGTCTAGAGACGCCCGTCCTAGACGACGGCCTGGAAGGAGCAGAGGAGACATCGAAGGATCCACCTATGGCGACAACAGCTCTAGGAGAGGCATTGGAGCTAGCCACAGGGCGGAGGGCCAGCAAGCGCCGGCAGCGCTAGGGGCGGCGCCAAGGGCGACGGAGGAGGCGTGGTTCTCCGCGTGCTCCCCCTTCTCTCCTCCCATCCTTGTGCAGCTGGTGATCCATGTGAGAGAGTTGCACACAGAATGAAGTTTTCATCAGCTCAACTCTGCCTGATTGAAAAATGTGTCTTGTCGTATAAACTCAAAACAATAATGCAGTCCATTATTTATGCAAGTGCCAAGAAATGTAGTAAGGCCTTGTTTAAATTCAGGGTGTAAAGTTTTGGGGTGTCACATCGGGTGTTACATGGGGCGTCGCATGGGGTGTTCGGATACTAATAAAAAACAAATTACAGAATCCGTCAGTAATCCGCGAGATGAATTTATTAAGCCTAATTAATCCATCATTAGCACATGTGTTACTATAGCACCACGTTGTTAAATCATGGACTAATTAGGCTTAAAAGATTTGTCTCGCAAATTAGTCACAAACTATGCAATTAGTTATTTGTTTAGTCTATATTTAATACTCCATGCATGTGTCCAAACATTCGATGGGATATGGAGTAAACTTTAGGGGAGGAACTAAACAAGGCCTAAATGGTGACAGTGACATGTGAAGAGTAGGGTATCTCGCGGCGATATTTCGTGGTAACCTTCGGATTTGGATCGAGTATTGGTTTAAGAATAGGATACAGGATATTCCATAGAAGCTTTCAACATTGTTGTCTACAATGTGGAGAATGGCATTATTCTAAGTTGTCTCCCCAAGTTGGGGCTTGCAAGCTAATAAAGCCAAACAGCTAAAAAAACTAAGAAACTACTAGACCTCTTTCCTTTAGTAGCTGGTTTTGCACATTGGACCAATACTGATACACCATATTTTTAATGAGCAAGAACATACAGGGACAACGATGGATCCTTGTAATTGAGATTGCCTAGTTTTTAAAGTACTTATTTGTTTATTTCTATATTAGCGTTGTGTCAAAAAAAATCTGCATTGACATTTAGTTCATAGCATGTTTTGCTGAGCTAAAACAAGCAGCGTTCTCACACAAAAAAGAAACTATAACCAATTATATTTATAAATCGAAAGATCATGAGCCAATAAGCTAACAACACATAACACATGCTATTTCTGTCTCGAAAGTCAAAAGGTCCAAGCATCATATTGTATCAAAATTCATGACGAAAAGCAAAGGGACGTTGAGACCTAGAAAAGTTCAAAGTCCAAGATCAATAGAAATAGTAGTGCCTTCAATCTTATTTTCTTGTTGTCTCAAAAAAAGGTCATAATTTTCTTTTTTTAGAAAACTTTGGATGCAAGTCTTCATCATTGTGTGCTCAGCTCCTTCGTGCACCATCTTTCTGTTATTCCACCCCATGTTTGATGTATAAATTAATTAACACCCCAAGTTCGAATTGTTTAGTTTTGTGCCACCATGTTCATCCCTATGAAGTTTGACAAAGCCAAAATATGATGCCATTTTAGATGTAATAGACCACTCTGTGTAAGGTTAGTCTCGGTTCAGTTTCTTGTGTTTGGGCCTACTAAAAGAGAAAGCCAGCTTGTCTGTTTAATGTAGTTCATCTTTCCCTGTGTGTTCTTTGTTTGGTTGCACAAGATGTATGACTATGCTAGGGCCCTTATAGGAGAAATCTCTACTAGTGCATTTCAATTATTAAGCCTTGAGGGTGACATCGCTTGGCTTCCTTTATTTATTATTCTACACTTAACTCTCTTAGACTTCCTTTGTTTTGTGCTGCAATAGTACATTCAGGGTAGATTATTTATCATGTATGGCTTCAAATGGTGAAGCACGTTAGCCTGTCACGACCCCAGTTCATGTTATCTTTGCTTTTGCCAATCATTGCCACTTTTACATTTCATGTTCTCCAAGCTTCTAGTCCTATTTTCAAAGACTCAGCAACAACTACACAACTTATTACAATATAGGCCCCTTTTATAATCCTGGAAACTTTCCTGTCTCATGTGTTTCCTATGAGAATGAACTGATTTCTACAAATTCTTGTATAATTTCTATGAAATTCCTATGCTCCAAATGAAATTCCTACGCTCCAAATGGACTTATAGGGTACCGTACTTGGATGCTCAACCTGTTTGGTATGGTACTTACAAGTTACAACAAAGTTGTACATAAAAAATGATAGGTGAATGTTAAAATCTGTGTTTGAGTGATTTGGATCTAGCCTGAGGTACCGGCCTTCCACGCCTCAATAATTGGAGTAAAATTCACCTTATTATCAATTATAGCCCCAAATGACATGGCCCATTTAATTTGTATACACCCTTTGGGTGCCCCTAGCATTTTTCGTCCCACCAAACTGAACTCATCCAAAGTGACAAAGCCGCGTGTCACGAATAAAACCGCCATGGCCGCGCGAATTCTCCACCCCACATATCCTCCGTTCGTCCTCCTCTGCATCCGCCCCCTATTTATCTCTCCCATCCTCTGCCCTCCTCTCAACCTCCCCCACACTCCCAATTCTCACCGCGAGTTCTCCACCACTTGCATCAAATTCTGGTTCCTCCTCGCAAAAATCACAATGAAGTTCGGCAAGAGTCTGAACAACCAGACCGTGGAGACGCTCCCCGACTGGCGCGACAAGTTCCTGTCCTACAAGGACCTCAAGAAGCAGCTCAAGCAAATCGGCGCCGTAGCCGGCACTGGCGAGCGGCGGAGCAAGCGCCAGCGTGTGGGCGACGGCGATGACCCCAGAGGAGGCCGGGTTTGTCACCCTCCTCGACGCCGAGCTCGACAAGTTCAACGCCTTCTTCCTAGAGAAGGAGGAGGACTACGCTTCATCCGGATGAAGGTAATTATTGCTTGACCGATCGGTTCCTTGATCCAATTATCCCCCCTCTCTATCTCGGCGAATAGTGGTCTGATTCCTGTGTGGGTCGTCGGATTGAGGGGACGCAGGAGTTACAGGACAGGGTGGTGAGCGCCACGGAGATGGGGTCGGTGGAGGAGCTGCTGCGGGTGCGGAAGGAGATCGTTAACTTCCACGGCGAGATGGTCCTCCTCGAGAACTACATCGCGCTCAACTACACCGGTGAGCAACTACTACACAAACTTTACTGGAGGCGGGCGTTTTCGGTTTCCCGCGGCGGGCAAAGCCATCCGCCGCGGCCTAGAGGCCACGGTAAATCGTGGCTTAACCTGGTGGGCGGCTTTGCCCGCCGCGGTTAACCGATTTACCGCGGCGGACACCTTTTGTGGACCACCGCGGTTATGTTCATTAGCCGTGGCGGGCTTTATTATTTGCCCGCCTTGGTAAATTATTTCCTGAATTAAAAAAATACAGCATGCATATAAATTCAAATTCAAATCACATCCAGATTTCACAGATTAAACTTAAAAAGTATGCAGGCATTACACATGAGATAATATGCATATATATACATTCATTAGTCGTTCTTGTCATCGTTAATTCATTACATTTACATATTAAAGTTGTTATACATGCGCTAAGGTGTAATCCCACGGACGCATCATTGTGGGCCATTTCCTCAGCCTCTCGTACTCCGGTAAAATCGCTAGCGGGCTGTTCTCATTGAAGAACGTGCCCCCTTCAAGCACGCATTTGTCTAAGACAAACTTACATATGTCCGCCTTTGTCTGCTTGAAGCTGTGTTGGGTGCTCTGCATGTCTCTCGACCAGTTCAATCCATTCTTGAGCACCCTCCAACTGCTGTTGTACTGCTTGCACACCCTCAGGAACTCACAGGCGTAGAAGCCATGGGTTTGTGATCCTACCGGTTGTTTGGCACACTGCATGATCGATACACAAGCATTACAACACAGGCATTAGAACGCATATGAACGGAAAGCACAATTAAACCTTTCAAATACTTACCGGAAAGTTACGTCTGATTTTGATGTGGTTCTTATGCTTAGCCTTAAAATTCTCTGTTCTTCGATCATAGCATTCAGGATCCTTCACGTACTCCTTATAAGCGCTATACGAAATGTACTAGTATTAGGCAGGGCATTAGAACGCATATGAAAAGACAGTTCAGTCACTTACACTCTGAGGCAATCTTCAAAGGCCTTGTACCCTTTTAAGTTTGGCACTGTCAACGAATCAAATACGTAGGCCCTGCCATCCTGAGGGTAGATGATAAATGCAACCCGGTGACCCTCGAGGCCTTGGCTGTGCCATTGAAACAAAATACAGGTTACGACGAAAAATAATAATACTAGCTAGCTACCCACTTATCTCTACAAGCATGTCTTCGACTTACCCAAAGTGGTAGGCAGCTAGGATACACCCATTTCCCCTGATCTTCCTCATTGCTCCTAGTATGTACCTTGAAGTGTTCAACTTCTCATTGTCCATTAGTTTCTTCCTATGCGCCTCTCTCTGTCGCTTGGTCAAGTCTTTCATGGTTGGATGATTGTCATCTAGGTGGTAACCAATGATGATTCTTTGAGCAATATGCATTGGAGATAGATAGATAACATCAAGTTTTAGTTCCTTGGATATATAGGCCATCAACCTGCAAGGACAAGCCATCGTGGCATATATAAGTAGTCTTGACCGATTCAAAGGCAGGTGATATGTGAAACTCGCAATTCATCACTTACATAGAGAACAAGGTGACTTGGGCGATGTCAAGGTCTTGTTCCCGCAGTAGTCTCACATATGTCGGAAGTCCACGGGGAGTTCTACATCGCTGCTGTGCAAGTGGAAGTACTCCGCCCCAACCTTGACTAGAAAACCATGCAGGCCAGCTTTTGCCGCTTCCATGTACCAGAGATGAAACCTCCTTGTCTCCCACCTTTCCTCGTCGACGAGTTGGGCCTTGGTTATCATGAACTTCCCATGCTCGTAATGGCCAGGGCAGTCATCCGATTCAGGAAATAGATGGAAAGGTGATCTCGGCCTAGGATAGAAATGTTAGTACCATATTATGGCAAAGAAAAGTTATTAGCAAATTATGCTCACCGCTACCATACCTTTCGAACTCAAGTGAGTATGTGAGCTGCCCTTGGTCGCCTTTAGTCTTCGCCGGTGGTGGAGGACAGTGGCTTGTGCTCGCAATGGTAGCAGGCGGTGTCTTTGCCCCCGATTCCTCCGTGCCTCCTAGTCCTTTGCTCGTGCCCTTAGACGGACTGCCGGGAGGTGGACTTGTTGTTGGAGGAGGAGAACGAGGGTGAGGGCTTGTGCCTCCCGGTCCTTTGCTCGTGCCCTTAGACGGACTGCCGGGAGGTGGAGGTGGACTTGTTGTTGGAGGAGGAGAATGAGGGTGAGGGCTTGTGCCTCGGGGTGAGTTCCTTCCCTTGTCATCCCCGCCATTGCCTTCATCATCGCCGTCGCCATGATCCGGATCATCGGGGGGACAAGATCCGGCAACGGATGGTTGTGATGCTGGTGTCGCCGTCAACGTAGAAGTTGACGTCGAGAGAATGATCTCTATGTTGTCCTTGTTCCACAGGACTTTGGAACCCAAGGCGGCTCCAAGGATCGTTACCCCTTCTGCAGTTGGATATTCCATTTCAAATTCTTCGTATTCGGTCGCATACCATGTAAGTATCACGGTAGCATAGTTTGCAGGGATCTGGTCTTGGTTGAAATCTTTGATATCTTCTTTGGGGTGCATGTAACCCTCACCCATGGTCAACTTTTTCGCCCTACCGAACGGGATCGTGAGGTGGACGCGCATGGGTTCCCAGATGTCGTCGACGAGGTGCCTTGGGCGATCCTCGATCATCGGCAGTGGCTGCCCTTGTGTCTGCCCTTGTGGAACTTGAGGCACGGCCACGCCAACTTGGCGAAGCATCTGTGACCTCATCGACACCATATCTGGGTCATTGCTCGTGAAGGCTTCTTTTATGGACCGGCTGATCATTTCGGCCACGCCTTGATCATAGCCCTTCTGAAAGATGCCCTCCTTATACCTCTGCCTTGACTGGTATGTGGCAGCATCGGATTGCTATGACTCCACTGAGTTCTAGCTCATCTTCGATGACATGCCACGGATGCGGCCACAGTGCTCGGGGGTTCCCGGCGCCAGGGTCAGCAAGTCCTGGCCCCTGCGAACCTCGAAGCTGTCCTTGGATTTAGCAGCCTCGATGAGAGCCCTCTCCACCTCCTTGAACTTGGGCTCATTGAACTTGCTCGCGCCCTCCTTGAGCTTCTTTGGCTTGCGGGCATAGATGAAGTCCTTAGCCCTCAAGTCTACACCGTCGTACGGATCGGGAAGCCCGGCGGCAGCTCTAGCCCTTTCTTCCTCCCGCCACTAGGGCCTCTTACCAGCAAACCTAGTCATGCCCAAGTGGTGGGGGTGCAGGTTCTTCTTCGCGAGTGCGCTGAACTTGGCGCTCTTTGCCTTTGCTTCTTCTGTTGTTCTTTGTTTGCAGAACTCTTCCCAGTGATGTTCCTTCACCATAGTGTATTCGACATAGGGTGACTTGCCTAGCTTCAGGTAGTACCTGGTCAGCATGGACTTGAAGTTTCTAAAGGCTCTTCCTGCCACGTGCATGACCCACTCCCTGCACTTGTTTAGATCGGCATCCTCGAGATAATGGAAGCTCCTCGTCACCTCACCCCAGATATGTGTCTTGTAGTCGACCGGGACATTGTTCCACTCCTCCCAAGTGATCTCTACCTTGTCCTTGACTATACATGCCACCTGGTTGCTGAACTTGGCAAGGACTGTGGGTGGCGACAATGGGTTTCCCTCTGGTCCCACCTCATGGATCACATGGACTTCGCCGTGGGTTTCCCTCCGGTGCCTCCTGTGTTCCCCCCTTCTCAGCTTTGTCCTTTGACCCCTAGACTTGCCTGAAGTGGTTGGAGATGGAGCGGGGGGTTCTTTGTCCCTGACTTATTCCTCCTCGAAATTCAATTCTTGAGGCACCACCGGCATCTGTTCAGGGTTTGGAGACAGCGCACTTTCAACTTCGTCGTCCCTCGGTTGATAGGTCGGATCATCTTCGTCCTCTGTACGACGTTTCTTTGTTGGCCTCGGGGTCACAAACACTTGGCTCTCGAGGCTAGTTGATGATGATGCACTAGGGGTAGGGTCGCGCCATTCGCTTATCGGTTCCTCCGCCATTGGAAAGCTACAATGAATACATATTTCAGTTGTATAGACACAGTTATAGAGTAGTAAAGTAGAGCAGTACTAGAGTAGTAAAGTAGTAGTAGTTGGCTCAGATTTGCCCCATTGTCATCACATCGCTTTTAAACTGGTTGCTTGTATCTGGTATACAAGCCATCCTAGTTTAGCGAGGGCACTCGATCATCATCGCCGCTGCCTCAGCATAAAAGGGTTCACATCATTGCATATGCCACTGCCTCAGCTTAGAAGTGTGAAAAGAATCATCATTGCAAATACCAAACAAAAGTCATCAAGATAGTTTCAAAATTCGGCCCCAAAGGGCTAAGTCCTTCGGCCATCAAGATAGAGTAGAAGACTAGAGGAGGTGAGAGTAGAGTAGAGTAGAGTAAGAGGAGTAGAGTAAGAGTTGTACAACTCAAAAGTTTGTTTGGCATCATAGGCAGCAATAAACCCCCATCACAGCTCAATCAAATTTAGTCAGTAAGAGTAAGAGTAGTAGAGGAAATGCTCAATTTAGTCAACAAGACAATGACCCGACAAGACAAGTAGTAGAGTTCAAAAGAGTAGCAGCAGTTAGCGAGTTTAGTAGAAGATTGAGTAGAGTTTAGTAGTAGATTGTATAGTAGTAGTAGTAGTATTCTATAGTAGAAGGACATTGAGCACTCAAATTGAGCACACAGTGATAGGGCTAAGTCTTCGACCATCAAACTAAGCACTCACACTGTTGTAGAAGGAAGCAAGGGAA